GCTGTTGACATCTGTTGTAGAAGTGATTTGACATACTGTACAGAACACAACTGTAAATACACTATTCTGCCTGTCACAGAGTGCATGCAGATAGATCTGTGAGTAGGTGTGCAGTGAATCATACCTAAAATAAAAATCCCAATGCACAAAATAATAAACCGACTAAAAAGTGCTTTACTCCACTGTCCTGTTCAGAATATTGTAGAGTTTCATGTTAAGCTATGTACACATTTCTGGTGTTCTTCCTAAGAAGAAGATAACAATTAAATTCTTCAAGCTAACATTAGTTGAATTTCATACTTAGGAGAAGGCTTGAATTATACCAACCATGCACTAGGACAAATTCATTCCAAATCTGCTTGCATATTTAACATTTGGTGGGGTTTTTTCACCTCAGTATTGGTAGGCAACATCTTCTGCCTTTAAGATACTACTATAGCAAGGTATCTTCATTGTGTCTTCTAGTCTGTATGCAAGCTGCAGACTCCAAATTAGTCCTTCTCTCCTCAACTGGACTTTCTGAAAGGGTCTACAAACCTGAGCTTGCTTGTTTGCTCTTAGAAAAGCAATTTGTCCCATCTTACATCTATTCCAGTTCACCTGTCAGGCTCATCTTTGCATGGGGTACAGCAGTGAGGACAAAATACACATGCAGCTTTTCACTTGCTGCCTCACTACTTAACCTTTTTAAAGGGTCATATACAATTAACCCACAGAAATTAAATTGTTTCAAATCAAATTGTTTGAAGATGCAAACCAAGCAGAAGATACCATTAACATACATACACCACCCCCACCACCCCCCAAAAAAAAGTCAACTAGCTCACTGTTACAATTTGAATCTGTTTTACATAAATTAATTTTGTGCCTAAGTTACTTTGAAAAGAGAGTGAGTAGAGCAGGTAAACAGGAGATGAAAAAGGTTCCTGTTCTGGAGCCACTGAAACTACTGGAGAGGAGAGTTCAGGTGACAGAATGGGGAAACACAAAAAGGATAGAGCAGGAGGAGTGTGGCAGCAAGGAGCTGGGAGATAATTGCTGAAGCAGAGATTGAGTACTGCTAGATAATCAGGCAATAGACTCACAGCCAGCTATTTGTGCTCACAGGTGGAGAAAATTCCTAGAAACCAGACACAAGGACCTGCTGTGCACTGACAGGCTGCATGGTTGGATACTTAACTTTAAGTCCTTTTATTTTATCTTGTCTTGCATAGTCATTTCCAGATTTTCCTGTTCTAGTTTATTCTTGTACATACTCTAATAAAACATAAATATTCTGAATTTCAAAGATGTTTTGAACTTCCTTGTAGATATTGTAATGAAACATCTAGGCAGATCTCCCTTAAAGCCTTGTATAGTTGGGGGTCCTGTGTTTATATTCCAAAAGGAGTATTTTCCACCTTGTGTAAGTGACTATTTAGAGCAATTACATTTTTATACCTTTAATAGGTGTAACAGTAACTTTCAAATGTTTCTTTCTGTTTATATGTGAAAGGTTAAGTCCTCCCTTGTCTCACTGTTTTGCTCAGGTTTAGACAATGACAACCCTTTCTAGATATTCACCATAGCCCTATTCTTAGGAAGGGGCAGGGTCTCTATCAATAAATGGCATGCTGTCCTATCCCTTACAGATTTAAAAAGCACATTAAACATGGCCAACTCAAACTGCTTTGGAGGGAAACACTGAAAAAATTGTTTCCAACTGTTCTTGTTTCATATTAGAGCCTCTGACAGCAGGGGGGAGTCAGGAGAACTGGAAATTTTTTTTTTAAAGGTGATTTTTCTGTAGCATCATTATTCAAGCTCACAAGTGACTAACATGCACAAGAACGAGAATCAAGAAGACTTGGACATTTCCCCTCAGTTCTTGGAAGTCCAGAGATGCCTAGTAACTAATTACTTTTTAATATTTTCTGAACATTAATAAAATTATCCCCCACTTTAATTACTTGAGAATTTGGTTGGTTTGGGGTTTTGCAGTCAGTAATTCTGATAGATAAATATTTGTATGTGATTTTTTTTCTAGTTTATTAATTCTAATAGATATATATTTTCATGTGAGTGTTACTTTTTTTCCAAAGTATATGCCATTTTATGATTGATTAATGAAAATTGCTTTTGCTGTAGTACTTGACCTCTCTGAGCCTCTATCAAGGTATCTCTTAATATTTCATATGACAGAACTGTTTCATCTGGAGTTATATATCCATACAAGCTAATTTTAGCCATATTTACCATTTGCCACATAATTACAATTGTTCAGCAGTAGAGAGCTTCTTTCTTAGTTAACTTGGTTATTAACTATCTCTTGCTATGCAATTTTGGAGATACAAGAAATTTGGGATATCTTGAGGTTTTTTTCTGAGGAGGGAGTGTGACTGACTGACCAGTTTTAGGCCACAAAGAGAAAGATACTGCAAATGAAGTAAGAGCATGACTCCAGTACTAGCCAGGCACTCTTCTGACTGCACAATCTATTTCCTGACAACAGTATATAAGCCTCTATGGACACCTGCTGCCTTTTGACAAATACTCACAGGAAATCTACCATGTAGAATTAAATTTTTAATTTCATAATTGCTGATCACTTCTCCCAGGTATCCAGTGACAGAACATGTGGGAATGGTGCAAAGCTGTGTCAGAGGAGGTTTAGACTTGACATTAGGAAGCATTTGTTTACCAAGAGGGTGGCTTTGTAGAGAGATGATCGATGTTCCAAGCCTGTCAGTGTTAAACAGGCATTTGGAAAAAGCCCTTAGTAACATGCTTTAACTTTTGGTCAGCCCTGAAGTGGTCAGACAGTTGGACTAGAAGATCATTGTAGGTCCCTTACAACTGACATTTCCCCTTCCCTTCCCTTCCCTTCCCTTCCCTTCCCTTCCCTTCCCTTCCCTTCCCTTCCCTTCCCTTCCCTTCCCTTCCCTTCCCTTCCCTTCCCTTCCCTTCCCTTCCCTTCCCTTCCCTTCCCTTCCCTTCCCTTCCCTTCCCTTCCCTTCCCTTCCCTTCCCTTCCCTTCCCTTCCCTTCCCTTCCCTTCCCTTCCCTTCCCTTCCCTTCCCTTCCCTTCCCTTCCCTTCCCTTCCCTTCCCTTCCCTTCCCTTCCCTTCCCTTCCCTTCCCTTCCCTTCCCTTCCCTTCCCTTCCCTTCCCTTCCCTTCCCTTCCCTTCCCTTCCCTTCCCTTCCCTTCCCTTCCCTTCCCTTCCCTTCCCTTCCCTTCCCTTCCCTTCCCTTCCCTTCCCTTCCCTTCCCTTCCCTTCCCTTCCCTTCCCTTCCCTTCCCTTCCCTTCCCTTCCCTTCCCTTCCCTTCCCTTCCCTTCCCTTCCCTTCCCTTCCCTTCCCTTCCCTTCCCTTCCCTTCCCTTCCCTTCCCTTCCCTTCCCTTCCCTTCCCTTCCCTTCCCTTCCCTTCCCTTCCCTTCCCTTCCCTTCCCTTCCCTTCCCTTCCCTTCCCTTCCCTTCCCTTCCCTTCCCTTCCCTTCCCTTCCCTTCCCTTCCCTTCCCTTCCCTTCCCTTCCCTTCCCTTCCCTTCCCTTCCCTTCCCTTCCCTTCCCTTCCCTTCCCTTCCCTTCCCTTCCCTTCCCTTCCCTTCCCTTCCCTTCCCTTCCCTTCCCTTCCCTTCCCTTCCCTTCCCTTCCCTTCCCTTCCCTTCCCTTCCCTTCCCTTCCCTTCCCTTCCCTTCCCTTCCCTTCCCTTCCCTTCCCTTCCCTTCCCTTCCCTTCCCTTCCCTTCCCTTCCCTTCCCTTCCCTTCCCTTCCCTTCCCTTCCCTTCCCTTCCCTTCCCTTCCCTTCCCTTCCCTTCCCTTCCCTTCCCTTCCCTTCCCTTCCCTTCCCTTCCCTTCCCTTCCCTTCCCTTCCCTTCCCTTCCCTTCCCTTCCCTTCCCTTCCCT